GGTTTTTTACCTTTTAAATCAACTGCAGGTTTAGGGTCCTCGAGTGCATATATTTATGCACTTAATTGGTGTGTTTTTTTTCAACCTATGGAACTATGTTTATAGCTTAAGAGACACTAGGGCCTCATTCAGATGGGGCGTACACATCCCTGCGGTGTGCACGTCCGTAAATGGGACAATTCTGGGAGGGACAGGTGATGTGGTTGCATGCAGCACCCTGTTTTTCCCTACGCGGCTGTATGCTGTCATCCGCGCACCTAAACTTGCACATTCGTGTGGGTCCGGGTGTCCGCACTTGGACACAGACAGTGGCAGTCCCAGTTTAAAAAAACCAAAACATTTGAATGGGAATTTTAGGATGCTTTGGTGCAATCACTTAAAGAACAATGTAATTAGGTGGGTGAAAGATAAACATTTGTATTGCTTGCGTTACAATCATGAAACCAAAATGAATTAACGATAGGAAATTGTATCACAAACAGTCTGGTAAAGCTGAGAACAAGAACCTTTATGAACAATGAAGGAGAATCTGAGGTTTACATGCATTTAATATGCAACATTAACTGGCAGATTACAATCATGAATTAGCTAAGCTATAAAACTGACCAAAGAAGCATGTAACATGCAAAGTTAAATATCCATACTGAGTACAACACTTATCTTTGCAGATGCTTGCCCAAAGCTAATCAGCATCTAATTAGATTGTTTCAATAAATGTCTTTTACAATCATTGCAATGACCAAAATATTGAACTCTGAATATAGATACTGCAGCTGTGAAATATAATCGGGAGCAGCTACACTGACATGATTCTAAGTTTCCATGAAAACAGTGCATGATACAAAGCCTCTCGGGAAGAGGTCAGCCAGTCAGTGACCGAGAAACCATTGCTGCAAGAAGAAACACAGCTAGGCTTTCTCTTATATATGGTTTACAGGCATGTTCCCAGCATTATCCCTACTAAGCACTCATTTCCTAGCCACAGGATGTTCATATAATGTGACGGTAAAAGATAAACAAGATCATTTCATAAAGTAGAGTTTAAAGTCATATTAAAGTCAAAAGGTTTTTATGCTATTTTAAATGCCGATCAGTTACAATGGATGCTGCTTCTTGATGTTTAAAAGCTTTAGTTTTCTGCAGAATCAGCTGCTCCCCTAAGCACTGGCCCCAATATCTTGTTTTAGGGTGGCTGATTTCCTTTGCAGGGTCCTATGAAACCACCCTTGTGTGTGCTAGTAAGCTGTGTGTGTCTCCCCAAACAAGCAGGCCCAAAAAGCCAGCAACTCCCCTCTCCTTCTCCAAGCTAGTAGATGAATAGTTCCTAGAGACTGTGCTGTGTATTGTGATCTCGTACTGGACAGAAAGTTCAGGGAAGCCAAGCTGGGAGAGGTGGAGCTGTTCATAAACATGATGAGTGTAAGTCTTTGGACAAAAACATAAAAAAAAATACTTTTCTGGGCCATATATATTTGTTTAATCTGTATTTATTATTGAAAGAATGCTTGAGGGATGAATACTACTTTAAATATAGTTTTAACTCACTCCTGGCAGGTTGCTTAGATTAAGTCAACCATAAGGCACCGCCAGAAGAATAACCTGGCAGCTATGTATCTGTTATCCAGAGTTTTCAATAGCACCCACAAAGCAAAAACACATTTTTTTCAATCCTAGGATTAATTTCCGTAATGTTGCATGACAATGTAATAGTCAGTCAAATGATCACAGCATTGGAAACTGAAAAATAACTTGGCAATGAAGGGGTAATGCAAGCTGGTATTTAAGTGGTTAAATTAGATACAGCTGCAGTTGGATTGACAATGTTGTTGAATGCTATTGCTATTTTAAGAATAAAATTAGACATGGCTCCGCATAACACGCTTGAGCTGTTTTCATATCAGTTTAGTTATGTTTACAGGAACTTTTTATGCCTGAGATTCATAACCTGGATCCAGCTTTTTACTCTTTTTTGGAGGCGTGCTGGAGGGAATGTTGTCACTTAAATACCTAATGAAGGGAGCTGTGATTAAACAGGACAGATCACATTTCCAAAATCTCTGGGGGAGGAGAAGAGTTTATATAAGTTAGTTTATAGAATCTAGTGTCCCAGAGCTAAAGCCTAGAAGCAACTAACAAGTCTTCTGTCTGGTGGCGTTTTTGAGGGGGATTACAAATAACATATTGGCTCTTTGCAAAACACAAGTACACATTTACACTTGTAGAGTGCCAGAGCATTCAAATTGCAGATACATGATCTTTCTTAAGGCATATCATAATCATGATGTTGTCTTTGTACTCAGTTTGACTACTGTCATTTTAATGTGATATTCAATGCTGAATCATGCATAGAGCTCACCAGTTTACTTTACACTTATGTAGACAACTTACACCTAGTTCCGATCTCACATAACAGTGACCGCCGCAGTTTGAAAATTAGCATCAACTCTTATTCCTGAAGTAGAAACTTAGAGCAACGGGAGGACACAAACCAGCATCCTTCCATCACCCTAAGCTCCGTATACCGCGAGCTACAGCTCGCGGTATACTGAGACGCCACAGTATACCGCAAGCTACTGCTCGCGGTATACTGAGACGCCGCAGATGAAGCGGATCCCGACAATTATGCCGGGATCCGCCCAGCTGCGTGAGTGACAGCTGGCTCTGCCTATCTAGAGGCAGAGCCAGCTGTACCCGCCCCCTCCCCCGTCTGATCCGCTAGTCAGCGCTGGCGGATCGGAGCGGGGAGGGGGGAATCCAGCCCCTCCCCTGTCACGGCAGAGAGGTGAGCGAACGCCGGTAAGTGTTCGCTCACCTCCCGATCTAGTGAGCCGACCTGCGACAGTCTCATTGTCACAGGTCGGCTAGAACTATGAGGTGAGTGAAAAGCACTCACCTCATAGTTCTCCTTTAATGGTGTCTCAGACTGCTGCAGTTCATGCAGCACCTCAGTAAAGGCCAACAATCTACCTCAGCAAATTTCTTTTTGGGCACTTGGTCTTCCTGAATAGCGTAGAACAGCAGATATCATGCATTCATTTATCAGAATAACAACAACTGATTGGGTAGGTAGTTATGATATGAGTGAACTTGTGTTAGCTAATTGCATTAACATTCCAGCATGTTTATTTGACATTTTCAAACACAATATTTAATTCTAAGAACCACCCATCATTCAAATTTGGCTTGGCAACATTATAATATATCTTTTATTCTATATTCTGTATCCTTATAGTGTATTTTATATCCTAGGTCTGCCCTGTCCTTAACTGCTCTCCCTTGCAACAAAGAAGTACTAGCTTATTGTCCACCCCCTCTGAGTATCTGCAGTAGAATTTTACACAGGCCCCAGAGCTTAGTTGTTTTTCCCCCCATATAGTCAGTTTAAAGGATACGTTCACCATTTGCAAAAATTAAAGAAATGCATAATTAATAATATATATTTAAAAAAATATGCATTTCTTTAATTTTTGCATTCAAGTCTGGAAAACATTGCAACGGTGATCACTCGATCAGGGCTGCAAAGCTCAGACTTCAATACATTCTCTCCCAGGCAGAGCTCCGTACTAAACTACAGAGTTTCAGTTAGGAGAGATGGGGAAGGACGGCTGGACTTCAAACTGCATTAAATCACCTCACTTTAGGTAGAGCTGCCCATATTCCCGCATCTACCTAGAGCAAGGACAGCTGGACGCTGTATGAGGAGATTTAATGCATAATAATTATGCATTTCTTTAGTTTTTGCAAAAGCTGACCTTATCCTTTATTGCAAAATACAAAGTCTACTGTTGTTAAATAGTCAATGAATATAATAAGCATTGATCATAAATTATAGAATGATCCATTCCTCATTTCGATATTACAAGTAAAATAATACAATATATGAATTGTCCCATTTGTCCCAGGTGTACAGTATATGAAGGACTAAAATGGTTTCTATAACTGAATACCTGAAGGGTCTACTCAGAATTCCTTCATGCTGACATCATAAACAATTAGAGCACACTTTTGTGAGCTTTACATGGCATAAAGCATTCAGGAGTGTTGTAAAGCTTTCCTGGGTCTGCCGGATGTAGTCCTTTTCTCTGTTTTCTCCCTAACTTCCTACTATATGACCTGTGTGATGCATGGTATAATTATCCTGTCATAACACAGGAAGGTTATTAGGTTGTATTTTGGTAAGAATACTGACATGGGTTAATTGCTGATTACAGTTGTATAAATGAATGGCAGTTCTATAGGATCACTGATGAAATAACCATTGTTCTACATTTCAGTTTAGAAGGTGCTGGTGGTCTGGTGCAGTCAATATATAAAAAGGTTTTTGAATATAGCACATCTGAAAAATAGAGCAGACCAAAGACATAGAAATGTAGACATCAAATTATTTTTTTTAAAAGGTCCATAAATATGACTAGTTCTTTTGCTCGTGTATAATTAAAAAGGGGGTCATTTTCATATTTTAAGATTTCAATATGGTTACCTTTTTGGTGTAAACTCCAGCCGTCCAGCTGTGGTGAAACTACAAACCCAATCATGCATCTGCCTCTGGGAGTCATGCCTGTGGTTGTCAGAGTTTTGTAGTTGCACCACAGCTGGAGGGCCAGAGTTTGCCTACCCTGGTGCACACATTTGAAGTCACACTGTGGCACCATTATTTCATTAACTAAGTTGACAGATCTGAACAACAAACTTTCAAAGAAAGAAAGAAATTGCCTTTCATTTTCAAATCTTAACGGAACAAACTGAAGAGAGAAGCTGATTGGCTGTCGTGGGCAACTGCTCCAGATTCTGCCTGCTTCCGTTTTGATAAATTACACGCACGCACGCACACAAGCCTTTTATTTAGGGTATATGACTGCAACCATCAGAATAATCAATATGTAAGAAGGTAGAGAGGAAAGCCCTCACATTGCTGCTTATTCTTGATTTCATTCACATATAATGTATGGTACAAATACAGATAGTAATAAATTAACCAAATTCACTTTTTAGCAACTTACCTCAGCTGCATTTGTTGAAACATGTCCAACTGACACAATGACTTTCCCTTTGAAACTCTGAAGAGTGGCACTAGCTGGACCTGGTACCAATTCTCCATCTGCTGTGAATGCCGAACCAAATGTCATATTGATGCTACCAGGTATATGACCACGATTGAAGCTGAGGATAGCAGTTAAGGTACTTGTACATAGTCACTGGAGGACAAATAGGTAAAACATCCAATCAAAATCGACTGACATCATACTTGTTAACTAAATCTGAGCTCTGTTTGTAGGGCCTGAGAAAATAATTAGATAGGGGTGCCAGTGTCTAGAGCTTATGATCCAAAACGGGCTGCAGACAATGCAGCGAGTATCTTATGTTCTTTGTCGGTGGGCTTTGGGCTGGCTGGAATCCGTCTGAGACGCTTCTGAGACAATTCAGAATTAATTTACAGATGCATTTGATGTGCAGCTGACCTCCTACTGACCTGAATTTGACCTGCTTCAAGCATGCTTTGCATCCCTATAGACTTGTGTGCGAATGCAAAACTCACGGTCAAAACAGGCATTTAGACACAAAAGATAGTCCTTAAGGCCTCAGTGTTATTTTACAAAAGCAGAAGCTCATTTCAGATTACCTTTATAAATATGACCACAAATTCAGACTGGAGAAAAATCACATCGCTGTTGGCACACCTGATCTCTCCAAACATCCCCTGCCTGACCCATATCTAGGTCCGAGATATGCAAGTGCCAGGAATGTCAGTCTGCTCTATGCCCTTCCTTCTTCATAACGCTAACCATGTATGCTCAACAGCTCCTTACGAAGAAAATCTTCAGTCAAGAAAGGTTGTTCAACATTTTGATCATACCTGTACATATGGCTGCAAGCTGATGTGTGTGAGTTGACTTAATGTTTCCTGATTAAATTACAACATACATTTAGTAGTATGAATGTAACATTACTGTAGCTTTTCATAATGTGGCATCAAATATACAAGGTTAAAGGTTTTTAAATATTTTTTTTACAATACCTTGTATCTTTATATTGCTAAGGAATGTGGCAGAACATTCCCAATGAAGAACACTCTCATTGTATTATGCAAATTTAGTCCACATTAAACACCAAAGATTCATTTTGTCCTTACCTGAAATGAACAGTTTACTAGTCTTGGTTTATTTTCTGATGGAATACTACATGAAATCTATTGCTGCTGTTGTAACAGGCACTGCTCCTATAGTCATCTCACAACACTTGCACCTTTGTAGCCCTTAGGCCATAATATTTAGTTTGTTTTATAGGCTCCTCAGGAAAATGATAAATGGGATACATCTCTGACAAGTCTGGGCTGGCTTGCTATTTCCAAGATGTACTGTGAGCGTGTTTCTTCAATTCTACACAAAATTACAGGAGGTGTCCTATAAAATGTCTCTAATGCAGCTTGCAAGCCGAGACCTGCATTTCCATGAAAGGTGCAGATAAATCTTGCAATTTCAATATGATGTATCCTTAGTCTTTTCGTTTTTATCCTCAGGTGTGGTGGGACTATCAAGAGTGTATGCTTGTCATTTTTATGTGGTGGCTGCTCCACCTGATATCTCAGCTTTGGAACACACATAAAACAACTGTGTGATCCTTATATAACCTTCTTTAACATAATTAGCAAACAAGGACATGCAAAGTGCAGCGGCTATGTGCAAAAAGTGCACTCGTTTATTGTGAGTAATTAGATCCCAGCTCACTATACTCAGGTCAGTGAAAAATGAATTATGGTTGGCTGCTTAGGGCTTCGGCACTTGGAATTAGGGTTTTTGACTGAATCAGCCCCTTGCTTCTTATATGTGTTCGATACTACAACAGCCAGATCTCCTTGCAATAATTTCTGATAATCTGGGAGATTTGGGTGTTCCTGATCCTCCTGTTGCGTTCTCTGCAATGTAAAATACATTTAACCAAAATGACAGGAATAGTGAGAACCTCTTAATGGCAACAGCAGGTGTGTAGACCTAGGAACACCGATATCTCAGTGGGAGATTTTCCGGTGGTTTAACCCTCGACTGTCTGCCAAAAACTGAAATGTCAGTTTTGGGTTAAATAAGCCTCTATACAGGCAAGCTGTTCTTGGATCCCAAGGGATTTCCCAAATTACATTCAATGGGGGCAATTTACCAAAACTGGAGCATGGAAACCAATCAGCTTCTCTCTTCAGTTTGTTCAGTTGAGATTTGAAAATGAAAGCGTGATGTTGATTGGTTGCCATGCAAAGATGCTCCAGATTTTGTCTGGTCCACTTTTGATAAATCCCTCTCAATGTGTTTCTGACCTTGCCCAACAGTAACCTCTTTACACATCCAGGTTCCACTGGGATGGGAAATCAAGCTTTCAGATTTTTCCTGCAGCTGGGCACCCAATCATTTTAATATAATAGTACTCTATGAACAAAGTCGTAGACAGGTGAGATTCATAAACAGCAATGATAGACGCAACATAGCAAGCCATTATGTAAGTTTTGAAAGTGCAACATTGTATCGCATAAAGTCATTCTCCTTTTTGCATAAAAAAATAGGATTTTTTGTACTCACCATACAGCCCTTTTCTCTGCATTCATTAATTAACACAGTGGACATTGCAGGGATAACCATTGGGTTACAGTGCTTCCTACAGGAGAAGGATGCTTGCACAAAAACAAAAGCACAGCCCAGAGGTGGCTCCTGATGGTGTCCAAACCTACCGTCTGCATAAGGCCGTTCAATTTAATGAAAAGAAGAAGAAGAAACAAGGAAACGTGGTACAGCAGGGCCAGTGCTACCACTAGGCAAACTAGGCAGCTATCTAGGGTGCAGCCTCAACTAGCGGCTTCCTCAGCAGAGGTGGCTCTCTATTTAGCCTCGTGCCCACCAGACTCGCTACCGGTCCCAGAAGGAGGTACAGGCACATGGGAGAGAAAACCCCAGCACAGGAGAGGGAATACTAGGACTTGGAGCTGCTACTTGACCCGGCCTGGGATAAGCAGGAGTGCACTACACACTATGATATGGGCACAGGCTGCAGGGGTGGCAGGCAGGAAAATGTAATGTACCAGCAGATGCTTCATGTGTGTCAGACGCTTGGGCTGAGAACGCACTATCAGCATTTTCTATAGGCGCTATTTTTCCAAAGATACACCACTGCTTGCCTGCGAATTGACAGGGAACCGTAATGCTGCATGCAGTGTATGCAAACAGTGTTACCACTCCCTGTCAAACTCACCTAGCGAGGGTCATTGTAACCGCCGATGTACGCAAGGAGGAACAGTCGCAGACTCAGCAGCAAGTGAGGGAAAGAGGGAAATAGGATATCTTTGCCCTCTCACCATTCTGCAGTTCTGTCGCAGCAGAACCAGTGGCAAGAAAGGAGATGTGATGTATAGGAAGGCCTGGAGAGATGTGATTAGAGAAGAGGGGGGCTGCGGATGTGATTGGAGAAGAGGGGCCGCGGAGATGTGATTGAAGGCGGTAAAACGTTTAGGAAATCTATGGCCCTCTGTACCTTTTAGGCCAGGAGTACTTGGCATGTCTGCAGTCAGGGTTGCCTGACAAACACACACACACACACTATATATATTATACACACACACATTATTGAAGTATCACCCCTAGGTCCATAGTTATTATATTATACACACACACATTATTGAAGTATCACCCCTAGGTCCATAGTTATGAATGCTGGGCGAAATTTGGAAACCAGTTTTACTGGCAGAGCTAAAGTCAACTGGCCCTTATCAGTCCAGGTCATCCATATTGACTAGGAACTATCAAGTGTTCTGGCTGTTACTTAGTGCTTTATAGTACCCCATTAGGAGTGGGCTATAAAAAGCTATAACACAGGCCTGATAAACATATCTTGTGCTATGGAATTTGAAGAATGTCTAAAAAAAACAAAACATGTTTAATGGGTATTCTGATTTAATCATATCTAATCGTGATTAAGGGGACAACTGGGTTTCCAAATTAGTTTTGGGATGTCCAGACCTCATTACCGTCGCATGTGCTAACTACGGAAGTAAAAATTCAAACACAGCTGTCACCTGGTTACTTGTAGAGAACTGGAATACATATGCCTGTTAAGTTGGCAGATATTTATATATTTGGCATATTCTATGTAAATGGGATGCTCAAGGTGTTACATGGATTAGGCAAACATTTCTTAAATGTTGCCGCTTCCCCATTTGCCACAAAATCATCATTCATGAATCATAAGAGCACAAAAAAAATAAAACAATCTTGGAAGCTGCAGGAATACAGAGTATTGAAAAGGCTGCTGAAAAATGAGGAGGCACATATCAAAAAGCGCCTAAAAGTTCAAAAATCCAGGCCTTCCTACTAAGAGTGAATGTACAATTGCCAGCAGCACAAAGGTCTCAGCAGTGCCCCACACTACGCTGTTGAGGTAACACCCTCAGCATCGCCTGATTCATTGATTCAATGGTCCTGTTCTAGCAGTAATATAAGCTCACATTTTCTTTCATTCGTTCTAAATGTAATCACTGGAGAATTAACTACAGCCTTTGTGATTAAATGTTCCTTTGATTTAAACCAAAAATTCTAAGTTTCCTCCAGAAATAATAAGGGAAGATTTTTTTTTAATTGCAAGCAACAAGCTCCTTTACACAGGCATGTCTTTGTTTGACTGCTTCCTCAATGTATGTATTCTAACAACCTAACAATCATCTGGGCTGCGTCTGCATTAAATAATTTTCTGATTAGCTCTTTGGAAGTGGTTAAAGGAGATTTCTCACGCAATAAAAATACAAGACACATTTTAAGGCTTTCTAGGGATCTAACAAAAAGGCTATATTGCCATGTATGGTTGTTGCAAGGCACCATCAAATCTCTTAGTTTGACAATATACTAAAAGTTATGTCATTTTGATGGGTTATATAGAATTAACAAAGCCAGTAAGTTCTAAGCAGATCAATTGTAACTTTTTTAAGACTCCATTTACTCCATAAAAAAACAAAACAGTGATCTTTTCTTACAAATATGTACAAAAATAATATAAATATATATTAGTAGTTTACTAGTTATTTTTCGAAAGAAAAAGAAAGTGTGGCAGAATCCAAAAAGAGAATTCCCCTTTAACCACTTCACAATAGTGTAACCTGTATATACTGTATGCTGGTAAGGGATGCTGGTGCTATATTATGCTTGTGCTGGGAGGTTACTTGGCTAATAAGGTGAGTTTTTGCTCTATAGACATATAGCCATTCTGTTGTAAGCAGACCAGTCATTAATCTGCATCTGCTATGGCCATGTTGCCAATGTACAATATCTTCAGTATGGTAATTAATCAAACATGCTGTATGTCTGTTATTAGATAAGTTGTGAGAACATGCAGGCAACATGGAGTCTCTACACTGTGGGCTTATGCAGTCAGTATGACGTTTAATTGTGATCCAATCGCTACAATATAGTGTTTCTTTGTTGCTAAAGTGACCCTGTCGCCATACTATCAAAGAACTCCAGGGAAAATGATCTTAAGCCTTGCAGTGGGGTTTCCCCTGCACTGCAATGGTTAAGTGCTCATTTTTGTCTAGGATCGAAAATAACAAAGTTATACTCACCTGACCCTCACAGCTGGCTGGCTGTTATATTGGTCCCTGGAGCCTCTCTCCCCCTCCACTCCAGCTGTCTAAGCTCCTGTTAGTCACCACGTCCAATACAGTATATTGGAAGTGAGGACACCGAGGGGCATTTCATCGCTAGAGTGGAGGAGGAGAGGTCTTCTTTTAAGGTTATATCTGCATTTAAAATATTTTATACATGTAATTTATCTGTAAAAACCTCCCCTTTGTAGACATGGAAAAGCCCTGAGACTGTTGCTGGGCGTCATCATCTTGGATGTGATGTCAGGAGCCCCAGAAGACTCAGAGCTGTCATTCAAGTGACACTCTATAGTATTCCCCTTCCCTCCTCTCTTAGCTGCTACATGAAAGTTTATGTAGGAAGGTGAAGGGAGACGCAGAGAAGCTGGCCCAGCAGAGAGTATTTAGACATTCTCAGAGGAGGAGAGGGCTATGCTAGGAAATTGACTTGGAGTAGTCAAATTTTCTAGAAAGTTTAAAGGTACATTGCAAGTGAATAAAAACAATTTATGGAAGGGAAAAACACTGCAATAAACATTTAAGAATGCTTTGCTTTTACCCACAAAGTTTTAAGTTGGCGACAGAGTCTCGGTACAGGTAGTATTGACACCAACAGATCAATTAACTTCACATTGGTAACGACTATTCTTTAGTAAGGCTGGTGACTTCTACATCCAGCCCCTATGGTATTTTCCCACTGCCAAATCTTACAACACAGACACACTAAAGTGGTAAGCATCTGCTGTGCTGATCAATTCATTGTAAGACTAAAGCTTACACATTGGGGCCACAGAATAAGAAATGCAGGTAACATGAATTAAACGATGACAAATTAAAAGCTGGTACAACTTTTTTTGCTGAATAGGCCCAGCAAAGAAGGAAGTCAACACTTAATTTTCCCCTCATTGTCTAGAAGTACAAAGGTATCCCTTTGCCTTCATGCTATTAAAACCATTGCAATGTAGGAAAGGATACTCTTCACTATTACGAATGTCCACAACGAGAAGCTTCGGCTTGCTGGGCTTTGTCTTCTTGATGTTCATTTTTCCATGACTGGGCACAGTCAGGTCACACAAGTCGATGAGATCCTCTGCAGAAATCCGAGGAGATACCTCAGACTTTAGTTCACTTAGCTGGATGAGTTCTCTTCCCTGAAAAGAAATATCAGGTATATATTTTAATTTGCAGAAATATTCCAACACATATCTACCCTTCTGTTAATTCCACTGATGTAATTCTTGCCATGGACTCCCAAAAGGTATATTTCAGTTGTAGGAGCCTGCTGGAAGTGGAAAGATCTACATGCTGTAGATTTTATTCCTGGCTATGTTTCTGGCAACATTTTGTTTTTTTTTCATATCCAAAACCAATCCTAACACTGAACATAAGATTCCTTGCAATGGCTGCCTTGTTCATGTTCAGGGAACACCACCAACCAACAGTGGTCCCCATGAGTTATATGAAGCCAATAGGTACATGAACTCTCCATCATGTACCAAAATTTAAAACGTATTCTTGGGTGGACTGACATTTTAATATCTCAGTACAACTCAATGTACATCTAACAAATTAGTACTTTATAAAAAAAATATTGCTAAATTTCCCAACATCAGAAGCAATTAAAAACATCTATCAGTGCATACTTGCTAAAAGATAAAAAAGAGAAACCTTATATCCAATGGACACTGTGGCTTAGCCTGGTCACATACTCTGAATCAGGATGTATTCAGACCTTACGAAAAAGCAGGTGATCCAGCGGTGTGAGTGAGCAAGCAAGGCCACACACACAGATGTAAGACTGCACTTTGTGTCACCCACCCCTGTGTAAAGATTAGCAGAAAGGGCAGTTAAAGAAAATTGGAATTCTTGGACCAATTAACTTTAAAATGTAGAAGCTAGGAGACTGTGGTATGCATGTCTTTCATTCCTTTCATTTCTGAAAAACTAAATAAACGTGCTGCTTGACTCATTCTATTTGCTTGTTCGCTAAGCAACAAGATATCGGTAACAGCATCATATGAAAAAAATGTGTTTAACCTGAGATGACACTACAGTTAATTCTGACAGCATATTAAGGCTTATTAAAATAGATATGTAAAAACAGTAAGCAAATGAGATATGATAGATCTTTAACATTTATTGAATGAGTAAATACAAATGGAAAACAACAGCCATGCTATATATCTCTGTTAGTGACATAACAAGAAGGAAATAATCTAAAACATATCCCATTGGTTTTCAATAGATACAATAAATTCAGATTCATACGGTAAATATTGCATAATTATCTGCGTTTCATAGCATTGTGGAGACTGTGATTTATAGATATGGTATTTCAGACCATTATTAATGGAGTTTATAAATTTGAATTAAACTTATTTTTGCGAGTGCTGCCAGTTGTGATATACATGATCCCCACAGTCACCTCGGGCCAGACGTGGTATTGCTTGTGTGACAACATAAGTGCTGCAGAGCTAGTCTTAGGAGTCGCTGTACTGTCAAATTAAGTGAGTGACACAGAGATCTGGGAAAATCCACAATTCTTACCACTGTGACAGGATAATTAGCTTACCAAATACTTTTAAATACTCTTAATCTCCCAGCTTGAATCAGGTACACAACCTGTGCTTCATTTGAGAAATACACTATATGGGAGCAAGGTTTAGGCTAAAACCTTTCTTATAATGATATATTCTACACTTGGTGCAGTACCCATCATTAACTTGTTAAAAACATTTTTTTTTGTTTGAAGGCATTTCTCTGTACAGTAGTTATGACTGCAATTTAACTGCTTCTGTAAATTGTTTACTAGATGCAACACCAGAATAGGTCCTTACACTAAGATTCATACAACTTCAAATATCCTAAAGGTTATTCTTAACAGAGTTGGGCTCGAATATTGCTAGTTCATGTTTTCGCCCAACACACGAACAATAATGGCGTTCGGCGGTCTGTTCGACCGCTGAACGCCCCACAAGGCAATGCGCTTTGTGAAGTCCTAATTGGCTAAAGGCTTGCACCTGACCACAGGTCAGGTGCAAGAATTTGCTCAATCAGGGCTCAGTACTCTGTAAGAGCCATAATTGGGCAAAGGCATGATGACTTTGCTCAATCATGGCTCACCTGTCAGATGACGTGAAACTGTACACAGTTGGGCGGAGCCAGCTGTCACTGCTAGCTCCACCCAATTGTTTATGTTTTGCCGACATCTGTCAAAATGCCATTATGTGGCGGGTGTTCTTCGCGAGCGGACGGGACGGCGGTCGTCGGTTTTTCTTTTCTTTATTATTTCTATTTATTTGTTATTGTTTTATGTTTTCTTTCGTTGAGTTGCCGTCGTCGTGGACACGTTGGACGTCGTGATTGACCTTAGGATTATGTCGGTGGATTAGTTTTTTTTAACAATAAAGGACTTGTCAAAATCCTTTGCTGTGGTTTTTCAATTAAATGATTTTTTTCTAAAAGTCTGTTTTTTTTAAAATTTCCATTTTTTTTAACCCTTTAGTGAATGGGTAGGAGTACAAGTACCCCTTACTCATTCACAAGGGGAGAGGTCGCATCTAGGTCCCCCTTTATTAAAGGGGTCCCCTGATGTGAATAAGTCCCCTGCCCGCACCCCCACAACCAAACGCCCTAGGGCTCGTGGGGAAGAGGCCCTTGTTCCCATCGTCACAGGGACAAGGTGCTTTTCCAGGGACGACCCTGGAAAAGCATCCTCCCAGTGCCGAGGGCATGCAGCCTATGTTCTTCGCGAGCGGACGGGACGGCGGTCGTCGGTTTTTCTTTTCTTTATTATTTCTATTTATTTGTTATTGTTTTATGTTTTCTTTCGTTGAGTTGCCGTCGTCGTGGACACGTTGGACGTCGTGATTGACCTTAGGATTATGTCGGTGGATTAGTTTTTTTTAACAATAAAGGACTTGTCAAAATCCTTTGCTGTGGTTTTTCAATTAAATGATTTTTTTCTAAAAGTCTGTTTTTTTTAAAATTTCCATTTTTTTTAACCCTTTAGTGAATGGGTAGGAGTACAAGTACCCCTTACTCATTCACAAGGGGAGAGGTCGCATCTAGGTCCCCCTTTATTAAAGGGGTCCCCTGATGTGAATAAGTCCCCTGCCCGCACCCCCACAACCAAACGCCCTAGGGCTCGTGGGGAAGAGGCCCTTGTTCCCATCGTCACAGGGACAAGGTGCTTTTCCAGGGACGACCCTGGAAAAGCATCCTCCCAGTGCCGAGGGCATGCAGCCTAGCATGGGAGGGAGGTGCTCACTCGTCCGACCCCTTTCCGGCCCTGCCAGGCCTGTGCTCGGATCAAGGGTTTGGTATGGAATTTTAGGGGGGGACCCCATGTTCCTTTCCCCGCATTTTTGAGGGTGGGGTTCTTCTTTACAATTCCTACCAGACCTTAAGGGCCTGGTATGACTTTAAGGGGGAACCCCACACTTTTTTTTTTTTTTACACGGGGTCCCTCCTAAATATTCCTACCAGACCTTAAGTAACGTATGAATTTTTGGGGGAACCCCACACTTTTTTTTTTTTAAATGGGGTCCCTCTTAACATTCCTACCAGACCTAAAGGGTCTGGTATTGTTTGAGAGGGGGAACTGCATGCTTTAAAAAAAATAAAAAAGTAATTTTTTTTTTCTTAAGAAATGTCAGTTTTGCTGCAGCAGGTTCTATACATTGTATTGATGTCACTTTACAGGCAGGTTAAGGGGACCCCCCAGACACAATATTTAACAAAAAAAATCATTTTTATTGTTACCCTTTACGTTAAGACCACTGTTCCTTTAAAAACTGTGTTTAAAAAAATAAAATAATAATTTTTTATTGATTCATGACCCCCAGGGCAGTACCCGGACCCCCATAACCTTTTATGGCCAATAACTTGCATTTTATTGGCCCTTAAAAAGGGGACAATTGTTTTTGAAAGTTTTACCCTCATAGACTTGCATCAAGTTAGAATTCAAACTTCTTGGATGTTCTAAAGTTCGAACCGAACTCGGACCTGTTCGGCTCATCACTAATTCTTAATCAGAAAATACAATAAAACTTGAAAAACACTTGTCTCCTGCATATACTGCTCTCTATCATAACTTTCGCACTTATCTCATGTACATACTAGCCAATGTCTATTTCTGTATTATTTTTGTGTACCCAACCTTGCCCATTCTGGTATGGACACACTTTTGCTAGTATAGTATACACCGATCAGCCATAACATTATGTCCACCCACCTAATATTGAGTAGTTCTCCCCTTTTGCCCCCAAAACAGCCCTGACCCATTCAAGGTAAGGAATAGACCTCTGAAAGTATGCTGTGGTATCTGGCAGCAAGCCATTAGTAGAAGATTCTTTAAGTCCTGTAAGTTGTGAGCTGGGGCTTCCATGGATCAGGCCTGTTTTTCCAGCACATCCCGCAGATGCTCCATTGGATTGAGATCTGGAGACTTTGGAGGCCGAGTCAACACCTCAAACTCATTGTTGTGTTCCTCAAACCATTCTTTAACCACTTTTGCAGTGTGGTAGGGTGCATTATCCTGCTGAAAGAGGCCACTGCCATCAGGGAATACAGTTTCCATGAAGGGGTGTACTTGGTCAGCAACAATGTTTAGGCAGGTGGTATGTGCTAAAGTAATATCCACATGAATGGCAGGTTTCCCAGCAGAACATTGCCCAAAGCATCACACTGCCCCTGCTGGCTCGCCCTCTTTCCATAGAGCATCTTCCCCAGATAAATGACACACACCCAGCCATCCACATGATGTAAAAGAAAATGTCATTCATCAGAGGTGGACACGGGTCAGCGTGGACACCCTAACCGGTCTGTGGCTATGCAGCCCCATACACAACAAATTGTGATGCACTGAGTGTTCAGGCACCGTTCTATCATAACTAGCATTAGCTTTTTTTTTCAGGAATTTGAGCTAAAGTAGCTCTTCTATTGGATTGGACTACATGGACCAGCCTTTGCTCCCAAAGTGCATCAATGGGCCTTGGTCACCCATAACCATGTCACTGGTTTTCCTTCCTTGGACTACTTTTGGTAGGTCCTGAGCACTGCAGCCTTGGGATATTCCACGGGAGATGCAATTTTGGAGTTGCTCTGACCCAGTTTTCTACAATTTGGCCCTTGTCAAAGTCGCTCAAAT